ATGATAGAAGATAATCCGTGAGATTCTAATAGACCTAGGGGAGATATGGAAAATGGGCTCGGCCCATTTGTTGATCTTTTTTAGAGCAATGCTAGGGGTACTTTGGTGTATCCCAAATGTAAATCACCCCCTTTTCCATCACTCATTTTTAATTGATTTTTATTTATTTATTTATTTTTAAATTTTTGCCTATTTATGTGGACAAGGAGAGGGTGAGGGACATATGGGGTACCCCAAATGAGGTACACCAAAGGTGTACCCCTAGCATTTTTCTCTTTTTTATCATATCCCAACCCAATTTCTATTTTGTGCTCCCATTATCTTAAAAAAAAATCTGTATCCAAAGCACTGGAAATATCTTTGAAGCCCCAGGGCTTAAAATCGGAGCTTCAAAATTTTTTTCTCTGACACGTCAGCTTTAACTTACTTCAATATTTCACTGGAAATAGTTATGAAGCCCTGGGGCTTCAAATCTTAATTTTCTTAATTTTTATTACATATTTTATAAAATTAAATTAATAAAAATTTATTAATTAATTAAATTTAAACGACAATAATTCATTAAATGAAAATAATTAACTTCAATAAAAAAGAACATTTAATCAAAAAATTACATTAATTAAAATTTTAAAACAAATTATATTTAGCTTTGATCTCGTAATGTCTTCTCTCGGAAGCAAATTATATTCGTCTGGTCGTTTGACTCGAGACCGGACAAAGGAACATTAAAAATGAAGAGGTTCATGTTAAAAAAGATGAAAAAAATTGATTTTTTTTTTATTTGAAGAAGATAGAAGAAAAGATTTTGTGGGTGTTTAATTTTTTTAAAAAATGAAGAAGAAAGATTTTGTTTGTGAGTTTTATTTTTAAAAATAAAAAATTGAAGAGGAAAATATTTTGTGGGTGTTTATAGGAAGAGTTTTTTTTTTGAATGCTATTGACTCTATTACAAGGTAGTATCTGTTTATACTATTCTCAAGCTAATGATTAATGACGCACAAAGAGCCAATGCTGCTGCCTTCGCTGGGGCTCGAACCTGGGTGAACTTCCCCATGAATCCTGGGGAGTGGGCTTGCTACCACTCAAGCCAGGAGAGAAGTTCAGGAAGAGTTTTTTTTTTATTTGAAAAAGATAGAGCAAAACGCTAGTTAGAAGTTTGACGCAGTGCCAATAACGCCCGGATGAAGCCCTAGGGGGCGGTGTTTAACGCCCCTGGGGCGTTAAAAATGCAATGGCGCCATTGGGCGTTACATGCATCCTCATTATCACTTACCATGTCATTCATAGGAAATGTGAGATTTATTTTTAGATTATTCAATTGAGAAAGGGATAGATTTATTTTAGGATCATGGAAGAAATATATCTTCATTCAAAACAATTGGAAAAGCTTGACTTTGTAAAAGGTGAAAAATGATAGTGTGATTTTGATTTTGGATGGAGAAAATTACTCCCTCCATCCACAAATAAACTTTACGTTTACTATTCACAGAGTCAAACTTTATTCACTTTGTTGGCCTATTTTCGTCACCTATTTGATAAAATAATATATTCATGTCACCTCTAGTTTTGTAAATCTTTTGATATAGTTTTTTAATATGTAATTTTTATTTTTCAATTCTACACCGTTTTTCATATAAAATGATTTGAAAATAATTTCAGTCAAACATCGTAACGCGTAATGTAAAGTTTATTTGTGGACGGAGGGAGTATTATATTTAGTATTTTTTTTTGTCTCGTAATACTGTTTCACAATTTATTGAATATAAACATTAAAAAAGTAAATTTGTGAAATTTATATTACTGTAGAAGAGAGAAACAATAATTAATAATAACCACAAAAACTTCAAAAAGGGACAACGATGACAACTAGCTTGGTATCTTTGTCTGATCCCATTAAATCTCACACGATTTTCTTAAGTTATAATTTGATATGCTTTGATCTGATTTGATTCTAATAAAAAATAATACTTCGCAAGTAATAGAGAGTCAGAATGAGTTAATGAGAACAAACTTTTAATTCTCTTGACATAGAAAGTCTTCAACAAAAATGGTACTTTAGTTGTACATCATGTTATATGATCACACACACAAGCACAAAATGTGTATACGGCATAAGCATTTTGTGTCAGTGTGTGCCAATGCAAAATATAGTGTACAAGTGGTGTACATCTAACATGTCTGAACTCTTCAAAAGGGAAACAACTAACCACAAAATATGCTCCTTTTTTGTGATTATTGAAAGAACCCTTTTTCTCCATCGTCCATGCTCATATTTTCAATTAACACTAATTTCTCAATTTTCTTATCAATATTTCATTTTTTATTTTTCATTTATTCACAATATACTGCAACAACGACAGATATTTATCCCATTAAGTGGCATCAGCTACATGGATCAAACGATGTCATTGTGTCTTACTATCCTATCATGTGCTATATCTGCATCGAAATTATTCACGCGAAGGTCTCCCTTAACCACTAGTACAAAGTTTTATAAGGTATATCTCTTCCTCAAGTTACATGTCAATTCGTCATTTGTTCAATACTTCTCAATAGATGCTTTATTGGTCTTTTTTACATGTCTAAATCACCCAAGACGTGTTTCCACCATTTATTCTATAATAAGTGACACTCCAATCTTAACTCTCATATTTCTTTCTTTAATCTATCTATACGTAAATAATGCTCGTTCATCAATTGAAACATCTTCATTCGAGGCACACTAACTTTGTGTTTATATTCACTTGTTTCCAAACACTCTAATCCATACAATACAACTGGTTTTATTGTAATACAGTAAAATTTTTCTTTTAGTTTTAAATACTTCGTATATTTTTGTTATATATAAAGTTTGAAATATTCCACAATTATGGTCAACTCGCTTAAATCTATGTGTTGAAAGATTTTATTAGTAAACAATACTCAAGACCAAGAAAAAAATTCATCCTACAAAAGAAAATTAAAATCATTTCCTACATAGTATTAATATCAATTGAGGTGCAACTAACACTATGTACATTGTCACAACTTGTGCCCCGACGAAGCCCCCCAAGTAGGACTGTACTTGATATTGATTCAGTTCCTCGTAAATCGCTTCTGACACTTCCCCCCTCTTCCTGCCCACACCGCGTCCCACCATCCCCCGCCACCACTATCCTCGGTCACCCCGTGTTGCTATAATATTTCTAATAAGAAATCACCCTTGATAGAACTAAAACATGGAGTTTATGTCCAAAATAGGACTTCTATGTTTTTATCCTCGAAATAGGACTAAACATTACAATTCTACCCTTGATCGGGAGTTTTTATCCTCTCCTTTCTCCTGTTTTTAATGAGGGAGTTTTTTTCTTGTTTTTCTTTTATTTTGTGTGTTTTTTTTTGTTTTATTTTCGCCCCTGTGTTTTTTTTGTTTACTTTTGCGATAACTGTACTTCCCTCTTTTTTTGGTTTTCATCTTTTTTTTTCTCTTTCGTCCCTTTTTTGTTTTTGTTTTTCTATCTCTCCTTCCTCTTGTTTTGCATAAAAATCTTCTCTTTTTTCCTCTCTTTTATTCTACATGGAGTTATTAATTTCTATATTTCCTTTTCCTTGTGTGACACATTTATCCTTTTGTGTTTAATTACTTTAATGCTTAAAGAAATAAAACATAAAGAAAGTACCAAAATAGGAGTAGAAATCACCCTAAATATGACTAAAACATATAGAAAAGTACCAAAATAGGATTTTCATGTTTTTTTTCCGAAATAAGACTTTGCACTGTGGTAATATGACTTTGCCCTGTTGTAATGTAGCAGTGTACATGTGCAAATTACTATACTTTTTTGGTAATGTATATGACCATGTATGGTAATGTAAATCGTATTTCGGAAATAAAAGCATGGAAGTCATATTTTGGTATATTTTCAATGTTTTAGTCTTACTTTGGTCTTTTTCTCAAATAAAAGTTCTATGTTTTTATTCTCTAAATACGAGTTTGCAATGTGTAATATGACACTCTACATAAGCATTTGTTGTAATGCACATGGTCATGCTTAGTAATGTAAATGTATTTTAATTCAAATTTCAAGAATAAAAACATGAAATTTCTATTTTGTTAATTATATTTTCTTTTTTTACTCCCACTTTTGAGAAAGTACTAACATAGAAGCTCCATTGTTTTATTTCCAAAATAAGAGTTTGCATTGTGGTAATGTGACATGTGGACATGTTGTCCAAGTACTTGTGGTCTTGTGGACATGTAGCGCGATTAATGATACTTTTTCTATGCTTTATTCATATTTAAGGTACTTTCTAATTATTTTTTATATTATGGCTTTGTTGGGTACTGTATTAATATTCTTTTAAATTTTTTTTAGAGATTGTATGGCACTATACGAGACGGTGACAGACTGCAACAACGTCGGTGACAATTTCAGTAGGTTGCAAAGGCAGCGGTGGTGACAGTGGTAGCGGTAGTAAAGGCGGCAAGGACATTAGGCGTAAACTGGGATGATAGTTTTTTTAAGAAATGTCATATTTTTAATAATTTTATTTTTAAATAGATGTATTTTTTTTAGTAAAAGTGCCGAGTACATGTAATTTAATTTAAAAATGTTAGGGATTCATTGGCCGACACAATGTTGCTTTTAAAACCACATTGGAAGAACAATGTTCTAATTGAATGGAACTCAAACTTGTACCAAAAAACGGAACTTGTACGGGGTAATTTAGGAAACCCGTGCCAAATTTAGTCCTACCAAGAGAAGTTTAAGTTTTGACTCCTATTTTGGTATATTTACAATGTTTTGGTCCTATTTAAGTCTTTCTCCCCTTTCTAATTTGTCTCAAAATAATTTTTTTAATGCATATTTTTAAATATTACCAATTTCATAGACAGATGATTTCCTAAGAAAATAATTTCCCTAAAAAATATTTTCTTAAGATTTTTTTTTCTCCCACCAACACCCTAAAAAAAGGTCAAATCGACATCGTTTTGGCATGACGTTAAAAAAAATGGACTACTCTGTGTGAATCCGTTTCCTTCCGACCTTCCCAATCCCGTCGGAAATTCCTCGCCCAGAGAGTCCACCGCCGTCGCGACCTTCGGCCAAAATCAGGCACCAGATCACAATCACCGTCCGCAACGCTCCAATTCTCCAGTCCTCCTCCACAAACGGATTGACCCTGCACCGGCTACAGTGTTACATGTATTTTTTGTTTAAAAACTTTAATACTTTAATTTATAAAGTATTGTTGATTTTTTTTTGTTTCGAAATGAAGAATGATGCTAAATTCATATTTTAATGAAGTAATTTGTTTTTTTTGTTTCGTATTTTGAGAGGTTATTATTGAATATCCCATTTACTCTTTTACTTTGTTTCGTGCTCACTTTTTTTTTTGAAACCTTTTTTGTGCTCAATTTAAGTGAGAAGGTATATGGTACATCCGGATGTACTTAGAGTTAGTTACATTCCGGTAGTACTCATTCTGAAGTAAAGTAATATTCATTCTCGTAACTGAGTATTAATTTCGAAATACGTAGTACTCATTTTAAAATAAGGTAGTACTCATTTCAAAATAAAGAAGTTCTCATTTTTACACATTTGTCTAATATAATTATAAAAAATAATGTAGTGTTCATTCTTAAAAAAATACTCATTTTCAAATTAGGAAATGTTCATTCAAATAAAGCATTCTCCAATTCTTTCACAATTGGAAAATTAGTAGCATCATCATCCCTTTAGGCTTACAAAAAACGTGAATTGGGGAAATACCACACGAACAAAGCACTGAACCAGATTTCTGCGCACACAATAAGAACGAACTAGAGTCTGGGCACACAATGTCCGTTCAATTACCGTCCGGTTGCTGGTGCGCTGCCTCTCTCCATCTCCGATCTATAATTTCCGTTTCGTTTAACCGGCTGTACCCAATTTTGGGTACAGCCGGTTGTATAATATAATCTGCGCAATTTAAGTGGATGATTTGTAAAAGTTTAAAAATTTACAAAAGTTAAACATCTTTTCTGTAAGCATCTCTAAATCTATTCTCTATTTATCGTTTTTACAGTGTTTGTTTTGAAGTGCAGTACTTAAACTTATTTTGGTGATGATAAATTGGCAATTTCATTTTTTTCTCCTAATCTGGTGCCTAGCTTTTATAATTAATTTATTTTTTTTTCAATTAAAATGAAGGTTTTTTTTAATTAATAATTTTGATAAAGAAATTATACCTCTTAATTTTTTGTTCTTTTTAATTATTTGAATGCTTGTTTGAGATAAAATTCATTTTTTTGTCAATTCAGTTCAATTCACTCATGCTCATGTTTCCTAATGGCCTGTAAAAGAAGGTGAAGTAAATAAATGAATGATGAGATCAAACTGTGGTGATGGCAATTTTCAGTAGAAGAAACAGGATAGAGAATGATTGTGAACTTTGTGGGGAAAAAATTGAAAATGTTAGCTCTGATCTTTCAAACTAATTTTGCATTTAATTAATGACTCGGAGATTTTTTTTCTGCAGGATATTTTTCTTTGCAAAAACTTAATGAGTTTTAGGTATATATCTAAGGAAATTATGGAGAAAGGCAACGCTGCAGTCCTCTTTATTAGTGCCATGATGATTGTTACGATTAGGGTTCTTTTTGTCATATACCGGAGCGGAAAGCCACTCCGACCCAGATTGCCACGGCCCCTCCGGACGCTCATTGTGTTAGGTTCAGGTGAAAATTGGATCATGTCAAAATCTGCCAAGTCTCAATCTTAGACAATCCATTTGCTTGTTTTGACTTTCTGGGAGTTGTTTTTTGTTGCAGGTGGTCACACTGCAGAGATGATGAACCTGTTATCTGTTCTTCAAGAAGACAGGTTTAAGCCAAGGTTTTACATTGCTGCTGCAACTGATAACATGAGTCTCCATAAGGCCAGGGTATTCGAGGACTCTTTAGTTGAGAAGGTGATTTGTGTTTTACCCCTGGCTCTATTTTGATGGCCTTTCTCTAGTGTATCTTGAAATTCTATTCATATGGTTTGTATAAATATAAATAGGTCTACGGTTTTATCTGTTGTTGTAGGCAGGGACGGAGGTGGTTCGAACAGCTCAATTCATGCAAATATATAGAAGCCGAGAGGTTGGCCAATCGTACATCACATCTGTTGCTACAACCTTAATTGCTTTGGCTCATGGTTTGTGGTTAATGATCAAAATCAGACCTGAAGTGGTATAATTGATCTGCCCATTATCTTCCACTTGATTTCTGTGCTGTGTGAGTGTGTGACATCATAATATTTTTCTCTCTTCTTAGTTAAAATTCCCCTTTTTCCCCTGCAGGTTCTCTGCAATGGCCCTGGAACTTGTATACCACTGTGTGTGATAGCATTTTTCTTTAAGGTATGCTTGCTTTCCAAGCTAACTTCCCATATGCAGGCTCCAATTTTGAGGTCTATTATTAAACCCAAAAGTGGAAAAAAGGAAACATTAAGTAACAGGGAGTTAGATGGATTACTGAAGGGAAGAGATGACTAGTGAACTTAGAAAGATGAAACACATCAAAGATAAGAGTCTTTTCCTTAGTTCAGCATGAAGAGATAGAAACTAGGTAGAAAAAGTTATTAGATGAATTTTTATTCAATGGGTTCCAACTTCCAACTTTTCGATATTAAAATCAGTTTTATTCATGATAAGAAAGCCAATAGAGATGATATGTAATCCAAAGGACATAAGCTGAGAAAGCTTTGAAAATATGTGTGCTTTCACTTTTAGACTAGCTGTAGTGGGCACAAATAACAAATATGGTGCCCATGTACACTCCCCCCCCCCCCGCGCGCTATCAGTGAAAAAAGGGAGGCATTATGCTGATAATGCTCGTGCCCCCCCCCCATTTTACTCCGTCCTATCATATCTTTACACTTCACATCTCTCACATTTACTTTATTAAAAATAAAAAAAATATTACTCCCTCCGTCCCAAAATGATTCACACTTTTACTCTATGAGCCTCCCGATAACTTTTGTTTATTCATGTGTTTTCATTGGTCAATTGATAAAATACAATATTATTGTTTCATCTTGTTTTGCAGAACTTTTATTTTCTTTATAAATGTGTAATTTGAACTTTTTATTTCTATATCAATTTAGAGATAAAATCATTTTAAAAACATGAAGTTTTGCATGTTTTTTGAACAGTGTAAATGAATTTGGGACGGATGGAGGAATAATTATGAAGTCCATAATTATTAGTGGTGATTAATGGGGATTTTGTCTACACCATTTTTATGCTATGGAGCCCCTTGATGAGGTGGCTGTCACATTGTGGATAATGCCCCTCTTGGGGCTCCGTGACTACACATGGTCTTATAAATGAAGTATTTGGCATATAATTGAACTGAAAATAATTAAGTTTAAACTGAACGGAATTGTATGGATCTGAAATGAAAACAGTTAAGTTTGAAAAATATATTTGCAATTACAATTTATAAATGAAGTATTTGGCATATCTATTTTTATATTCCTAATTACAATCAAGTTATTTTGGACCATTATATTGTTTTTATTTTTAGAAATGTAAACAAGACATAAGTGGTGAGGTGGATTTGGAGTTCTCCCCTTATATGTGAAATTTGGCGTTAGAAACTCAACACCTTCTTCTTCCTTCCTAGACCCTACTTTTGTGTGGGCGGGGGGGGGGGGGGGGGGTGGTGATATTCATTACTTAACTAGGTTCTTTCTTCTATCTTTTTGTTACATATATAGGTACTTGGAATCAGGTGGTCATCTATATTTTATGTAGAAAGTATTGCAAGAGTGAGAAGGCTATCTTTGAGTGGGTTGGTCCTTTACAAACTACAGATGGCTGATCAATTATTTGTTCAATGGCCAAAACTGAAAAGCAAATATCCTCGAGCTCATTATGTGGGGCGTCTTATGTGACTCATATGTGGCTTGAGCCCTCAAATTTAGGTGTACTTGACCTTCCTAAAATATCGGAGTGACAAGGTTTTAGGAAAAAAAGAGCTCCAAATTGCATCCTATATTCACGGGAAGAGCAATGCTAACATACCATCTTGCAAGGTTATTTTTGTAACTTCATTTACATGTACTATACGAATGGCTTTGGCCTTGAGGTATTATCAAATTTGCTTCGATATTTCCATAAATTTGAGATTCTACAGGAATACTCAAAATTTACATAATTATCATTAGCATTCTCAGAAATTTGATATTCTTTAAGTAGTACCTCAAGATTGCATATAGATCAGTGATACTGATACTCCTTACATTTCAAAAATTTGGGTATTCTAGTAAATTAAAAAGTTCTCTTTGAGTGACTGAAAAAATATTGAATTTATGAGAATGTTGATGATAATTATGTAATATTGCAATATTCTTATAGTAAAATTATAAATTTATGAGAGTACCGATTCTTCTTGTACTACAGTTATATGCCTTGATCTTTCTTCTCTATTAGGACACATTTATGTACTCCCTCCGTCCCAATTTAGATTACAAATTGGGAGTAGTCATTATTGAAATTAGGTTAAAGGTCAGTAGGTCACATCATAGATTTGATGATTGAAAGTTGAAACCAATGGGATTTTTGTACCATGTTTTCATCCATATAGAGTGAAGACTTTGGACCACCTATTTTCTTTCTCATCTGTAATTCACTAATTCCTAAGCTGCACCATGCCTTTTAAAACATCCTCTTACTAATTGGGACATGCAGAGTTTAATACACACTTTATTTTGGAAAGATAAAACACAAGAAACTGAGGAGAAGATTAGATGCTAGTCTAAATTCTTTGAATGAGTGCAGCTTCAGAAACTTGAGTGGATTGTTGCTCTTTCTGCCCAGCCTTGGCTTTCATATCATCAAGATAGTGTTGGTAGACATATGAGACAAAACCCCATAGTGCCAGCAACAATGAGATCACTTTGACACCACTCATCTTATCCTTGAAAATGAACACAGCCATAACAGGAGGGATGGGCAACCCTAGGATGGCAATCACATTAGAGAACAAAGATGAAACCTTGAAGATGAGCCCGAGTGACCCGACCGCAAAGACCTGCCACGCCACTGCAGTCCCCACCAAGTTCATCACATACGACACCCTTCCCAGACCAAACCCATTCATCTCCTCCCTCAAACCCCTCCACTCCCCGCTCGCGAAGAGCCCCACGAGCGTCACAACAGACCCCACAATTGACCCGCAAATCAACATTTCGACGATGAGCCGGAACGTCTCCTTGCGCTTGAAGATCCTATGGAAGGCGAGCTGCGAGAGGGACATCTGTAACGCGGCTCCTGCAGATGCAGCTACAGTGGACAAAAACCCTGCGACATACTTCTTATGGGAAGAGTTGGCGGGGCCCTCCCCGGAGCCAAACACGAGGATGGTCGCGGAGAGGGTGAGGAGGACGAGGGAGTTGACGATGTAAGGGGTGAAGTTCTGTGCATTGAGGAAGAAGGAGAAGACGGCGTTGAACCCTAACTGGCTAGCACAAATGAGGGAGTATGTGGTTAAGGGCAGGTACATGAGCCCAACAGAATACATCATACAGATCCCCGCGCCAAACAGGCCTAGGACAGTGTAAAGCGGGGCGAGGACTCTAAGAGAGGGGTTAGTAGTCGCGGGGGTGGTTGATGATGATGACGAGGAGGAGGAAGAGATGAAGAGGAAGGGGATGAGAATGGGGAAACCGGCGCTTTGGACAAGTGTGGCCATCCATTTGCTCTTACCACCTTGGCTGAAATATAACCTGCCCAAAAGTGTGCCTATTGTTTGGCTGGAGAGGACAAATATGGAGTAGACAACCATTTCTGCCCACCATTTGTAAGCTGATTGCTGCTGCTTGGGGTTAACATCATTTGCATCAACTTCCACAATAACCTTTTCTTCTTCCTTGGTTTCCTCTCCTGCAATAAATTGGGAAATTTATATATTTACCTCTTTTGGTTCATATTCAAGGATCAAACTGCTGTCACACCAGGTTTGACGCTTAAGTTTGACACTAAATATTTTACAAACATGCATAGCCAATTACTATCTCTGTTGCCCAGACAGTTGTTGTTTGCACATATTGTTAGTACAGAGATACTTTCCAAGAGACTTGGGGCTCAAACACATCAGACAAAGTAAAAACAGAAGCACAAAGACAAAACTAGTTTAATCCATATATAATTGTATAGAACCTTAAAAGCACATATATATGAGATCTCTCTACCAGGTTTATGTGAAAGTGTGTGCACAGAACCTCAAACAATAATTAACCACTGAAGGATCCTAATCGTATTCAGAAGAATGATAGGAAATATATGTTTAATTTATATTTTTTTTCTCAGGAAAAATAGTCCATAAACCTATGAAAATACAAAAAAAGGGTTCCACTTTAATATATGAAACCCCATCATAGTTGATATAAATGGATTCTTTAGGTTTTATACAGTAAGGATGGACTTACCTGGCTGTTTCATGTCTAAGATGTTTCTCACTGCCATAGCCATAGAGCTTGGAGAAATATTTTATTAAGTGCTGTAATAATGTGGGTCTGTTTGCACTTCAATGTCTTTGTTTTATATGTATTGTAATACTCTATTTATTGAAAGGGTCATGCTAGGGTGCCACCACATGGGTGCTACCATGTGTGCACCCATGCTTCACACTGACAGACGCTAATCGTCTGTGCGACACCTTTGCATGACCCTTTCAATAATTTTGGTGGGTTCCCATGATATTGGAACCCCATGTCATGGGATGACCCGGGAGCGCTCCGGTGCCCCGTTCTTAAAATTGACGGTTTCTACCCCCGCTAATCCCCCGGTAAACCCCCCACCCGACCCGACTCAAACACACCCCCACCCCCTTCAATTGCACCCCACAAGTTGATTTTGACCTTGGAGTTAAAATTTGACTCCTAAGTCAATCAACTTGAGGGGTGCAATTGAAGGGAGTGGGGGGGGTGTGTTCGGATCGGGACGGGGTGGGAGGGTTTATCATGGGGTTAGGAAGGGTAGGAATCGTCAATTTTACAAACGAGACACCGGAGCACCCCCGAGTCATATCATGACATTGCCGGGCAATGTCATGGGAACTATCCCCCAATAATTTATTGTTGTGAAAATAGTTTTGTTGTGACTATTTTTTTCCTCATTTGCTTTCCCCACTTAAATGCACGGATGTTGACACTGTGACCCCTGACACTAGCTCCTAGAACGTGAGGTTTAAAATATCTTACATAGTACGGAGTATCAATCAATATTTTTGTTTAGAGCAATGCTAGGTTGGTGTACCCCATTTGTCCCTTACCCCCTTCTCCACCATCCATTTTTATCTACTTTTTATTTATTTAATTTTTTTAAATTTTTGCCCATTTATATGGTAATGGAGGGGGTGGAGGACAAATGGGGTACACCTTTGGTGTATCCCTGGCATTTTTCTTTTGTTTATCCTTGGATTCGTTTTTTACCCTCGGGTTATAAATTGACCAGACAATTTTCTTTCCTTATTCTTGTATATTCCTTGATCTTTCTTCTCTATTGGGACACATTTATTGTAGTCATTATTGTATTTGGGTTCAATGTCACATGGCTGACATCATAGATTTTATAATTTACCAATGGCATTTTTGCACTATGTTTTTGTAAATTTTTTGTTTTGTGATAATAGCATTTGGAGAGATAAGATTAGAGCAGCTGGGTAGTGCCTTGAGCTAGGAGGGGTGTTGTGTGCTTTGAATGCCCTTTTATGCTTGGTGCTATTTGCTTGCAATATTCTCGTAACTTTAGTTTATTTAGCTTAGTTTTTATTCTGGATGTTTGGTGCTTAATCTGTGTTGAATATGTGGTTTCCTTGTTTTATGTATCTGCTCTCATCCTTCTTTATGTGCATCTTGAGCTACGGGTCTCATGGAAACAACCTCTCTATTCTTGAGTACGAGCAAAGTCTGCGTAAAGAGACCCTCCCCAAAATATGCTTTTGTGGGGTCCAAGTGAGTTGTTAAACTAAAAAAGCGTCTCGAGTAAAAAAAAAAATGTGCCCTAGTTTAAAAGTAAAACATAATTATTTAAATAAAAAATAAAGGTAAAGTATCGGAAATATAATACTTATATTAGGTTATGATATATTTTTTTATTATATTTTCCTACTTTAAAAATATTTTATTTTACTTATTTGAACACTATTTGCATACTTGTTTGAGAATTAATTTATTCATTTTTCATAATTATAAATAGTCTTAAAAAAAAGTTTCGGGGGCGCTTGCCTCGAACCCCCGCCTTACTCCTCACTCTAACATCGCCCCTCGTCACAATTTTCTTGGATGGTACACATGACACTCTTCCCATGCCTTTTTTAAAAAAACATTTTGCTACTTGGAACATGCACTTATTTGTTTTGTTGGTAGAGTTTAATACAACCGTTATTTTGGAAAGATAAAACACAAGATACTAAGGAGAAAACTAGATATATATGCTAGTCTAAATTCTTTGATTGAGTGCAGCTTGTGAAAGTTGAGTGGATTGTTGCTCTGTGTGCTCAACCTTGGCTCTCATATCATCAACATATAGTGTTGGTAGACATATGAGACAAACCCCTATAGTATCAACAACAATGAGATCACTTTGATAAGTGGATAGACATTAGCTTTTTATAGAATAACAACAGTAAAGTTGGCTATCTTTACCTGGCATTTTCATGTCCAAAATGCTTCTCACTACTGCCATGGCCATAGAGCTTGGGAGAAATATATCAGTCAGTGTTTTAATTATTTGGGTCTGTTTGGAATGGCTTTGTTTTATACTCAAGTATATATGTAGTGTAATACTCCATAATTTAATGAACATATTTTTGTTGTTAAACTCTTTTCTTTCAATTGCTTCCCCCACTTACATGCGCCTACGTTGACACCCTCACATTGTCACTTGGACGCACTTCTAAATGTGAAGGTGTTTGCTTAGTCTCCATTTTACATCAGCGTTAGAGGTAAGTGTTAGCATTTTGAAAATTTTATCAAAGGGTAGCCTTTAGTGTTACACCATGTTTGGTTCAAAGAATTTGAAAGGGAAAAGAAAAGGAAATGGCGTGGAAAACGGTTTTTTTGTTTGGCTAGAGAGGAAAAGAAAAGAAAACTGGAAAGATCAGAGAACGAGAAGGCAAAATGTATATACTAAGAGCCTATTCTTTAGAGCTTTAACTCTTAACTTCCAGTTTCTTCCAGTTCTTTCCAAATTTTTCAGGTTTCTTCCAGTTTCTTCCAAATCTTCCAGTTTCATCCAGTTCTTTCCAGTTTCTTCTAGTTTCTTCCAACTTTTCTCATTTTCTTCAAACTCTTTCTACTCCTCAATCAATTACTCTAAAAACAATATATTTTAATGTGATTATTATTATTATTATTATTATTATTATTATTATTATTATTATTATTATTATTATTATTACTCCGTATTATTATTACAACTGTTATGTTCATAACTATACTTTATAAATTATTTTTTTCATCTCACTTTTTTTACGATTCACACTCATTATTTTTTTCTTCAACTTTTTAATATGAATAAGAAATTTTTTGTATATTAGTCTACATGATAAAATAGGGAAACATCAATATGTTAAATTATATTAACAAAATTATGGATAGAATAGTGAAATTGAATGTTTTATTAATCTAAATGTATATAAGATCTCTCAAATTTTGCTTTATTACTTAAAATTTGTTCATTTTTCTAATTATTATAAAAAAAATTGTAAGTCAAAATAGTTTAGAGAAAGAGACTAAAATAGGAGTAAAACATAAAAAAAATGTAAAAAAAAAGTTCTATGTCTTTATTCCAAAAATATGACTTCAATGAAAACAAAATGTCAATCGTGAAAGAAAAAAATAGGTTTAATTACATTATGTGATATGTCTGATATTTAAAACAAAATCATGTAATATTTAAAATATAATTACAAATATATTATTTATAATAAATACTGCATAAATAAATTGAGGTGCAATATAACCACAAAGACTTTTTTAAATTTAATAATTTTATATTTATGCAAACTTTATATTATAATTATTTTTTTGCAAAAGTAGTTTTTGTATTTAAAAAATAACAATACTTTTTTTGTATAATAATAATAATAATAATAATAATAATAATAATAATATATTTAAAAAAAGAATTTAAAATAAATGTTTTTAAAGTTTTTTCGGGTTTTCCAATTTTTTGAAGTTTTTTTAGTTTCTTTCAGTTCCTTCCAGTTTTTTCAAGTTTCTTCCAGTTCCTTCCAGTTTTTTCCAGTTATTTCCAGTTACTTCCAGTTCTTTTCAGTTTCTTCCTGTTTTTTTAGTTTTTTCCAGTTTCTTCCAACATGTAGCTCTTTTTTTCCAGTCTTAAAGAACAGGCTATAAGTGGAGGGAAAACTAAATGTCTTGAACCAAATATAGTGTTAAAATTTTCAAAATTAATCTACACCATCAAAATTTTATCTAAAAAGCTAACGCTAATCGAAAACGATGTTATAAAATTTACTTATTTTAAGATGAAATGTTCCGTATGTTATTGCACTTCATTGATTATTTTCTTTATACTATAAGGTTTTCTAAATTCCTAATGAGCTAGAAATGACATTGAAAGAGAAAATACACAAAATATGAGTAAAATATACTTCGTATATCGGTAGCATTTATTCTCAAAATTAAAATAATATGTGTTATCTCTAATAAGGAGTACATAATATTGTATTATGACAATGTGATACTATATTATGATATTCCATACTCCCTCTGTCTCATACATTTCTTTTCATTTGTCTTTTCATGATTTTCAATGCAATATTTTTTTATTAATATCTTTATTGGTATATTCATAGATTATAAAACTATGTGTTGAAATATATCTATTGATAATATATTTATTTCACAACTCAATATATTTTTACCATAGTTTATTATCAAAATAAAAAATATTTGATCACAGAAGTCAAAACAAGAAAAAAGATATGGGTCGGAAATAGTGATTTTTTTATATTATATACTTTCTTCGTCCAAAAAAGAGATGTCTAATTACTTTTGACGGGTCAAACTAATTCTACTTTCTTTATACATTTTCATCAATCATTTAATAAAATAAAACATCATTGTCACCACTTATTTTGTAGAACTTTTGATGTAGCTTCTTAATATATAAATTTTGCTTTTAAATACTACTCAAATGTTTAATTATATTAGTTTGAAATTAGCTTTAGTCAAATATCGTAAATTGAATAGAAGACCTATTTTAAAAGGGAAGTTGTCCTTCTTATGTCTTTTCTAAAAAAGAAATTACCCCAAATAGTATCAAAACATAATTTTTATGTCCAAAATCGGAGTTCTATATTTTTTTACCGAAATTAGAATTTATACTGTGACATTGTGTACCTGTATGTTGTCATTTCATAATGTCTTTTAGTATTATATGCTGATAATATTGTCATTGTAACTCATGTTTCGAGATAAAAAAAACCTAAAACTCTTATTTTAGTACTTTCTATTTTCTTCATATTTTACTTCTATATCAGGATGTGTTTGGTGATCAAGCAAGATGAGTTTTCATATCTCCATATATCAGATTTTTTTTTGGTATTTGGTGAAGCCAAAAAGATATCGAATTCGATGTCTACAGATAC